GATCCCGGCTTATCACCCAACTCAGTACTCTGTTCCTGCTTTCTCCCCATACCCTTTAATTCCTTTAGCCCTAAGAACTATATCTGGCCCTTTCCTGAAAACATTCAATGTTTTGGTCTCAACCACTTTCGACAGCAGAGAATTCCACAGGCTCACCAGTCTCTGGGTGAAAAAAATTCTCATCTCAGTTCTTGCAGGGCTATGGAAATAGAACGGGAAAATAGGACAGATTAGATTGTTCTACAGTAAAGACTTGATGGGCTGAATTGTCTCCTTCTGTGGAATGATTCCATGATATAGCCATTGCAGGTGCCAGCCTTTCTGTTTTAACTTACCATTCAGTGTGTTGCAGGGCTGATTTTAAGTTGGAAGGAGCTATTTTAACATGACCATTGAGGTGATGGTACAGCATTTGGACTCGTGTGAACATGTGTGTGTGTTTTCATACCTCTGTTGTTTCAAAAAGCAAAGGAGAGTTTCACTGGCGTTAGATTGAAATGCAGTTTTAAATCCAGCAAGACAAAGAGTGGGAGGGTGACAGTGTTCCTCTGTGGGATGTCTCTGTTTGAGCGAGAATGTTCCAACTCACTGGGGGCGTAGATGGGAACCATGCCCAAGATTCCTGGCTAGGTCTGTGTATAAGCCTCCACTCTACCTACGACTGTGATGGGAAGTGAGAAAGCCAATAACTTTATTTAGTCAGGAAGTCAGTTAGTTACAATTTGCTGTACACTGTGTGTTTGTATAAAGAACACTTATTGTGGCCTTCTGATCTAATATTTTACTCTGTTACTTCTCATTTCTCTGACCTGATTTAGTCTCTTTACGTATTTTATTCCCTTCTTACCTGCCGAATGCACCATTTCTGACTGTTTCTCTAGTCCTTGATCTTTTTTGTTTTCTTTTAAGCTATTATTTATACTACCTTTCCCATCAGAGCTACCCTTCCCCTGGCACCAACTCACCAGCTCAAAGTTTTCGTGACCATCCTCTTTACCCGTTCTGCTAGGACACTGATCCTTACCCATTGTCTGTCTCAATGTTCCTTCCTGTCCCACTATCCCATGAAATGGAACTCCCTCTTCCTGACATCACTCTTCAACCAAGTGTTCACCTCCATCAACACCTCATCTCCATAGCAAATATTAATGAACTGGATTATAAACTAGACATTATGACCTCCCCTTATGATCCTTCGGTTCGGCCCCTTGCTCCTCAGGCTCTCCACCATGGGCCACATGGATCTGATGACTGTATTCTCCCCTTCTCATAATATCATTTCAATCCGTTGTTCAGTGTTGTGAGAAGGTTGACAATGTTATCATAGGGAGCGGTTTAAAGAAAGAAAGACTAGCATTTACATAGCACTTCTGAAGACCACCAGACATCTCAAAGTGCTTTACAGACAGTAAAGTTTTCTTTGAAGAGATGTCACAATTGTGAAGGAAGAAAAATAGCAGCTAATTTGTTCGTAGGAGAATACCACAAACAGTAATGTGAGTATCAGCAGATAATCGTCTTTTTGTGATGCTGACCCCTTAAGGATAAACATTGACCAGGACACCAGGGATAATTCTCTTGATCTTCCTCCAAACAGTAGCATGGGATCGTTTACATCACCACTCAAACAGAAGCGCAGTTTAACATCTCAGCTAAAAGACGGAATCTCCAAAAGGACTCCCTCAGTGTTGCACTTATATTAGCCTGGATTTTCATGCTCGCCCAAGATGGACTTGAACCTGCATTCACATGTGAATGTGTTGCCAACAGAGCCAAGGCTGACACTAACAAGGAGGTTAATTGTATTGATGCATTTAAGGGAAAGCACACCCCATAAACACACCAGGGTGTATGGAAATACTGAGAAGGTAACATTAAGTAGAGTGGAAGGAGGCTTGTGTGTAGCAGAAGTCCCGTTTTAGACTAGATAGGTTAAATGGCCTGTTTCTGTGTTGTAAATATATAAAGTTCTCTGAACACAGATTCTGCAATGCAACTGCACTGATCTCAACACAGGGGTATGGAGCACAAAGGGACTTAAGAGATGTGGAGACAGTGTGAGAAGGTGCAGTTAAGGAGGCAGATCATCCAGGATTTTGCCAAGCAGAGCAGTTTTGAAGGGTCAAATAACCTACTCCAGCTCCTAATTATCATGTTCTTCTGTCCTTCTGGCTTGCACTTGCTGCAATCAAACCACAAACGGACAGGCAAAGCTTGATGTCAGCCTCAACAAAAATGCATGAATTGCAAAGTAGAGAACTGCAGCAGTATAACTCTTGTGCTTGGAAATCTCAAACAGCTTCCCCCAAATTCTCTTTTTGCTCCAAGGAGAACACCAGATTAGTGTGTCACAGTGTGTTTGGCCTGTCCCTCTACCACAAAGGAAATGTTCCCTTCCTTATCGGCAGCAAATTTATAAACACAAAGGGCGCTTTGACATTGCCAACTCTGGATGGGTGTATTCCTGCAGGTTTCATCACATGATTTCACTTTGCAATGCTGCTGCTATTGGTCAACCAACATGTCTGACCTACTGGTGCCCCACCTACCTATACCAGTTAGGATACAAGCAACCTCTTGGTTATCAGATTGATTGATTCTTGACTATTAATCAAACAGCCTTTCCCATTTCTTTAGACATTTTATAGCTAACAAATGAAAGCACTGAAGATTAAAAAAAAATTGGCACCAATATGTTGAAAACGTCTTACTGACAGCATTTCAAATAATGGTAATAGCCCATGTGTTCTCATTTTTTATGTCCCAGCTGCTTCCTATT